CCCGCCCAGGGTGTAGGCTCGGGGCGTGACAATATTACTGCATATAATAAATTCTACGTCTAATGAATTTTCCACTTAAAAGGATTTTGCACTAAAAAGAAAATAAAATTATTCTCCTAATATTAAAATAGGCAATTAATTATCTTCTTATAATTTAGAATTTTTCCCTTATAATAATAATTTTATCTATTATAATTTTTTTTTTCAAAAAGGACAAAAAGTCCATTCAATAACTTTCATACTTTAATATAAAATGTAGACAGATAGACAGATTTGTTATCCTTCAAAGTGGCTATACAATCTGCAATCGGCAGTAACATAATATTTAGGCTTAAGTCATCTGCGGCCCCTTAAAATTGTCCATATAATTCACTTAGACACCTCAACTAGGACTAGTACCTATTGAACACCTCTACCCTCTCGAATTTGAACCAATTAGACACTTTATGCAGATGTGGCACAAAATGTGTAACTCACATCTTGATGAGCGCATGAAATCGATATTTTAACATTTTTCCTTTTCCTTTTCAATTTTTTCTTTATATTTCTCATTATTTTTTTTAAAAAATAACAATATTTTTCTTCTTCCTCTCTTTCAAAACCACACATCTACTGCAACCACTTCTTCAATACAATCCATCACCATTTTTCCCCACAAATTTCCTCTTTTTTTAAAAAAAATCATCTGATTATTGTCTACTTCCGTCTTCTTTTTTTCAAGAAAAAAGATGGAGATCACTAGTTCTTTGAAGGTTAAAATGGAGATTATTATGTTGTCTTCTTTGTCGGAAAAACTGGAGACCATCTATATCTACTTTACCGAAAAAGATGGAGATCATCATTCAAATATTTACTCTCTCCCTCTTCACCTCTCCCCACACACACCCCATCTTCCTCACAAATCGAACAAAAAAAATTGAAATCAAAATAAAAAAACGAATCTTTTAAGAAAATACCATCAATTTAAATGTAAATAAGAAAGAAGGCATAAAGAGAAATAAAAATGATAAATTCATTCATAATATATGTTAAAACCTCTAATTTTTCTAAATGGAGGTTAACAATGGTGGACAAGGCAACTGTTAGGGAAAGAGAAGAAATGGAGAGGTTTGAGGTGGGTGCCTGGTGGGGTGCGGGGCTGGGGTTAGGGGGTGTATAATTTATTTATTTTTTAGTTTAAAGTATTTTCTTTTAGGATTTTGTTATATTCAAAATTCATTTTTATGATTATTTTAAATTAAAATGTCACGTGTCTTCATTTGATTCATCATTTTGCCACATCATATGCATGTGTATTACACGCACATTCTCTTTAGATTAAGTGTCGGAAAAATGTTCAATAGGAACTTATGTTTTAAGATTGGAGTGTCTAATAGGAAACAAGGTTTGTTAAGGTGTTTAAGTGAATTATACGGACAACTTTAAGGGGCCACAGATGACTTAAGCCTAATATTTAAATAAATAGTAATGTTCTTTAACATTACATAATAACACATTTTCATATTTTGATGATAATCTACAAGGAAATTATTGTATGGATAGAGCTATACTATGAAAAAGTAGGATAAAAAATTAAATAGAATTATTAAATAATTAGTAAAGAAGAAGAAGAAAATATTAAAATAATGACAAGATTACACTAATTCGATCGTTACACAAAATGAGTCTTTTCATTATTACCTAACAATGAATTTAAGTGATACAATACAATACAATAAAATTTAAATAACAATTAAAACAAACATGATATATTATCAACTTGTCATACTCTACTCTATCAAAATTTAGTCACGCTGAATAAATTTATGTGATAATAATATAATATTTTAGAAAATATTACTCACCTCTGTCTCAATTTATGTGACACTTTTCATTTTTCGAAAGTCAAACAGTTTAAATTTGACTGGTAATTTGCGAAAGGAATCTTTAATTTTTTTGAAATGAAATTTGTATATTTGTAAACTACGTAAAAGGTACTATTAGTCACAATAGTTGATAGTTTAAAATGTTTAAAAAATCTATAAAAAACTTACGATCAAAGATAGACTTGTTTGAATCTCGTAATCCGAAAAGTATCACATAAAATGGGACGGAGGGAGTAATATATATTATCAAACTAAAAATTCCACTATAGTTCTATGAAAACCGCTGTGAAGCCCATTCTATTTTCCCTTTATGATAATATGACATTTTGCTTAATTATTCTTTTTTATATTAAAAATAAAATAAAAATTGGTAATAAATAATAAAAACATAATACATAAACATAATCCTTAAATTGACTTCAATCGATAATTGTGACTTTTAAATTTGCCACTCGAATATTGCAGGTCATATGTGTGATATATAAACGCTCCTACATGGATTAGTGAGCCTACCTGGAATCCTACATGTATTATGTCACATTGAACGTGAGTATATTTTGTTCAAGTTAAAGCGAAATTCTTGTTCCTACATGCATACCCAACTGTTAATAGTTTGGACCAATATTCTATGAATTGCAAAATATAACGCAATCGAACTGTAACCACAAAATTAGTGTCGTGCGCAAAAAACCTTAACAAGATACTTAAGATATGTATATATTTGAGTCCAAATATTCTCTATTTCTACTCAATACTTGTTAATTTGTAAAACAAAAATGGAGTATTTTCTTCTTGTTCCGCTGCTTGTCTTCATTTTCTTTTTTCATAAGTGCTTCTTTAGCCCTTCAAACACACAAAAAAGGTTATTACCACCATCTCCAACAAAGCTTCCAATCATAGGTAATCTCCATCAACTTGGATCGCTTCCTCATCGTTCTCTCCATAAACTATCCAAAAAATATGGTCCACTCATGTTACTTCACTTTGGCAGTAAGCCAGTGCTTATTGCTTCCTCTGTCGATGCTGCTCGCGATATCATGAAAATTCACGATCTTGTTTGGTCAAATAGACCTAAATCTAGCATCGCTGATGGACTCCTGTATGACTCCAAGGACGTGTCTTTTAGTCCGTATGGTGAATACTGGAGACAAATTAGAAGTGTTACGGTGCTTCACCTTCTCAGCAACAAAAGAGTCCAATCATATCGTCATGTGAGAGAAGAAGAAACATCAAACATGATTGATAAAATTAGGCAAGAGTGTGATTCAGTGATAGACTTGAGAGATGTTTTAAGCTGTATGACTAATAACATAATTAGCAGAGTGAATATAGGAAGGACATACAATGAAGGGGAAAGTGGAATAGCTCTAAAGGCTTACCTAGAAGAAATTCTTTTACTTGCAGGTGTTTTTAACATTGGGGATTATATTCCGTGGCTTAAATGGCTCAATAAAATCAATGGTCTGAATAGCAGAGTGAAGAAAGTAGCTAAAGGTTTGGATGCATTTCTAGAGAGCGTGATTGAAGAACGAGTGATTAGGAACAAGAATGCAGAATACAGTGCGGGTGAAGCTAAAGATTTCGTGGACGTTTTGCTAGAAATTCAGAACGGAAAGGAGACTGGTTTTCCACTTCAAAGAGATACATTGAAAGCTCTCCTTTTGGTAAATTTTCCCTCTTTAGTGCGTGTCTAGTTTTATTTTTTCTTTTAAGCATTTAATTTGAATATAGGTACCATTTGACCATCGTCCCAATTTATGTTTCGTTATAATGCATAGGATGCATTTGTTGCTGGCACAGATTCAACGTATACAGTTTTAGAGTGGACAATGACGGAGCTTTTGAGGCATCCAAGAGTTCTGAAAAAGTTAGAGGATGAAATGCGAGTATTAGGCCAAGGGAAAACAGAGATAACAGAGGATGACTTAAGAAATATGCAGTATCTTAAAGCAGTGATCAAAGAGTCCCTCAGGCTTCATGCACCTGTTCCACTTCTACTTCCTCAAGAATCGATGGAAGAAGTAAAATTATTTGACTATGACATACCTGCTAAAACTGAAGTCCTTATTAATGCTTGGGCCATCGGCAGAGACCCATTATCGTGGGATGATCCAGAGGTGTACCTGCCAGAAAGGTTCTTGAATAGTGATATTGATGTCAAAGGACTAAACTTTGAGTTGATTCCGTTTGGAGCTGGCAGGAGGGGCTGTCCAGGAATTACTTTTGCTATTATGGAACCTTCTGTACAAATTCAATTTTGCATTACCAAAAGGGATAAAAGGGGAGGATTTGGACATGACTGAATGCAATGGGCTTGCTGTTCGTAGGAAATTACCTTTGCTTGTGGTGGCTACTCCATTGTCTAGTTAATAATTTCAATATATGTAATAATTAAGTGTACTAGTCTACTCCCTTTTTCGGTTTTTTATATGTTCTTGTATACAAAATTTCCTGTTGTAACATGTTCCCTGGATAATACTATTAATATGCCAAACATACCAAGCTAATACACGTATAACTTTATAAGACCAAAAGATGCGTTACTTGTTGATGTTTGATATTTAACCATCCAACTAAATTTTTTCCATATTTCGATGGTATGCAAAAAGAAGCCTGGATATTTTCTGTGAATAGCTATAGAGGTAAAATTCTGTTGAAATAGCTATTCGAGGAGCAAATTTGGGGTCCATCCCATTTGAAGAAAAAAGAGAAAAATGAAGAAGAAAAAGCCAAGATATAAGGGAAGGGGCAAAGGTCACGTGCTAAAATTACTTGGCTAACAAATGTTCTTGACAAGTATTATGGGACTTTAGAGATTAATGAGGTAAATTTTGGACTTTTTAATTACATGCAAATTTTACAAGTAGTAAATATAATTTCGTTCCATGTAATAAGAAAAATGAATAATATTACAATACATTCATTTCATATGATTATCTTTTTGACCTAGTTATAAATAATAATATTATCTGCCAAACATGTTAAAATAAGAGAGTAGACCAATACACTTCATATGGCAAAAATATGAACTAATTAAGTAGAGTATGGAGTCGCCAATGCTAGCAAAGGTGATTTTCTACGAATAGTGAGGCCAGTGCATTCAGTCATGTCCAATTCTTCTTCTTTTGGTAATGCTAAATTGAACTTTTGCACAATCCTTGCTAATGCTAGCTCAATCGCCACAATAGCAAAAACAGTTCCCGGGCAGCCCCTTCTGCCTGCTCCAAACGGTATCACCTCAAAGTTTAATCCTTTGATATCAATATTACTATTTAAAAATCTATCTGGGCGGTAATCCTCTGGATCATCCCATGACAACGGGTCTCTTCCAATTGTCCAAGCATTAATAATGACTTGAGTTTTTGCAGGTATGTGATAGCCTAGTAATTTTACTTCTTCCATTGATTCTCGAGGAACTAGCAGTGGAACCGGTGGATGAAGCCTGAAAGTCTCTTTGATCACTGCTTTGAGATAGTGCATATTTCCTAAGTCATCCTCTGTTACCTCTGCTTTCCCTTGGGCTAATCCTCGCACTTCATTCTGTAATTTTTCCATGGCTCTTGGATGCATCAATAGCTCTGTCATTGTCCACTCCAAAGCTGTATATATAGTATCCGTGCCAGCAGAAAACGTATCCTATGCATAATAATATAATTAGAAAGAAACAAAACTAAGGGTGGACTCCATTCATACATGATTGAGTTTTAATGACTCTTACCAAAAGAAGAGCTTTCAATGAATCCCTTTGAAGAGGAATGCCAGTTTCATTTCCATTCTGAATTTTCAACAAAACATCCACCAAGTCTTTAGCTTCACCAGCGCGATTTTCTCCTTTCTCGTTCCTAAGCATGTGTTCTTCAATCACGAGCTCCAAAAATGTATCCAATTCTTTCGCCACTTTGTTGTCAAGACCGGTGATTCTATTGACCCATTCAAGCCATGGAATATAATCCCCTACATTAAAAGTACCTAAAAGTTCCACAAACTTATTTAGAGTGGCCTTAGCATCTATTCCACTTTCCCCATCATTATATTTCCTCCCTAAAGCCACACGGTTAATTATATTATTAGTCATACAACATAAAACATCTCTCAAGTCTATCACTGAATCACACCTTTTCCTGATTTCATCAATCATGTTTGATGTTTCTTCCTCTCTCACATGACGATAAGATTGGACTCTTTTGTTGCTGAGAAGATGAAGCACCGTAACACTTCTAATTTGTCTCCAGTATTCACCATACGGACTAAAAGACACGTCCTTGGAGTCATACAGGAGTCTATCAGCCATTTTACATTTAGGTCTGTTTGACCAAACAAGATCATTGGTTTTCATGATATCGCGAGCAGCATCAACAGAAGAAGCAACTATCACTGGCTTACTGCCAAAGTGAAGTAGCATGACTGGACCATATTTTTTCGATAGTTTATGGAGAGAACGGTGAGGATGCGACCCAAGTTGATGCAAATTTCCTATGATTGGGAGCTTTCTTGGAGATGGTGGTAACTTATTTTGATTATTGGAAGTAGTAAAGAAGCACTTATAAAGAAAGAAAGTGAAAACAAAGAAAGGAACAACAACACAATACAAGGGAAGATCCATTTTTTTGGGCAGGAAAGAAATGTAGAATTGGGTGTATATTTGGAAACAATATATTTATCATCGTACCAAATGGAAAACAAACGTCATTTTCATATACCGTTGGAGATGATTTTAATTCAGTAAAGCTTTTCCACACAAACTTAAGGAGAGTACGATCGACCACAATTATATTATTTGCATTATTTCAAACAAAAGATAATCATTCGAACTTTAACCACACATTTTGTTTCCAACTTTAAAGTTCACTACATTTTCTTTTCTTTCCTTTCTTTTTCGTCCTCTAATTTTATTATTCCGGCAATCAATGTATAAACAAAAATGAAAATGATCACAAAAAAACTATTTATTCTTAAAAAATTTATGATCACAATTCCTTCCTTTCTTGCTGTTATCTTTATTTAACATTTGGGAAAAAGGACAAATATACCCCGAACTATCGTAAATGATATGCAGATACCCTCTGTTATACTTTTGGGACATTGGTGTCCCTGCCGTCCAAAAACTAGAGCATATATACCCTTTATACGAACGGACATATTCGTGTCATAATCTTATCCACCGACCCGACATTTATTAAATATCGGATCGACGGATAAGATTGTGCCATGTGTCCCTATTTAGTTTTCCGTTAGAAGTGAAGAACATATATGCTCTAGTTTTTGGACGGCAGGAGCACCAATGTCCCAAAAGTATGACGAAGGATATCTGCATACCATTTATGATAGTTCTGGGGTATATTTGCGAGTCCGAAACCAAAAGGGCAACTCAATTAATTATGAAACCAAAAGGGCAATAATTTTTAACGTCGTGTAAATCAGATTTTCTAAAATGAGGCTCAAATTCCAATGAGCCTTGCAGACTGTTATTTTAAAAAAAAACATTCTCGTTTTATTTTCTTGTTTGTTAAAAGTCTAATACTAATAATAATACATAGTTGTTGATATGATGCATAAACGATAATTTCACTGAACTAGAAGTTTTTTTAATTTAACCGGTTGGTTTCCTACGGAAGATTGCTTTCAAGGTTTTAGAATTTTTTCATCGTCATTAGTTAATTATATAGAATCTTCAAATGTAATAAACGATAATTCCACTGAACTAGAGGTACAATAAAAATTTAGATTATACTTATTTTGGTTGCTTGGAGGAACATTATTTCCTAATAAACTATAGGAAAAAAAAAGGTAACACATATATCATACATTTTTTTACCGTTTTAAATCTTGTAATAAACTAATTTTTTTTAGTTATACCTGATAAGGTTGTAGATGTCTAAAACATCTCTACAAAAGATCATATTTTTTCGAACATCATTCTCATGAACCCTTCGTCGAGACCACTTATATGCAAGTGGTTTTTGTCCCTCTGGTTGATCATTTTTGATCATTCTGTATAAAAGAAATATACAGAACACCTGGAAAAAAAAAAGGAGTCAACCAGCACACTTATTACATACCGTGAATTCTGAAATTATTAACTTTTAGGGGTCGTTTTGTACGTAGAGATGCTGCAGGAATTAGTAACACATGAATTAGCAATGCAGAAATTAATATATAATGTAGAATTTAGTAATACAGAGATTAATTTTTATCAACTACATTTTTTTTTAAAAACCTAAAAAAAGTATCAACCCAATATAGAAAATCAAACATGGAGAAAAAAAAATTAGTTTGTGAAATCATCAAATTACATTGAACAGATGTGGAGAATTAAAAAAAAACCATCTATAACTATATCAATATAATTTTTTTTAAAAAGACATTAAATTACAAAAGAAACTTGGGAAAAAAGATTGGGAGATAGTTTAGTTATTTAGGGGTGAATTACTTATCCTTCCTTTTTCTAGGGATAAAATAAGACATTTTATGAGGTATTACTAGTCCATGGATTAAGTTAAATAAAGTAACCAAACAATATTTTTATTGGACTAAATTTTAATCCAAAGACTATTTTGATTAATACCTCCTACAAAACGATCCTCAGTAGTTTCGTACTAAGTAGAGCATGGAGTTGCCACTGCTAGTAAATGTGATTTTCTTCGAATAGTGATGCCAGTGCATTCAGTCATGTCCAAATCTTCTTCTTTTGGTAACGCGAAATTGAACTTGTGCACAATCTTTGCTAATGCTACCTCAATTACCATGATAGCAAAAGTAATTCCTGGGCAACCCCTTCTGCCAGCTCCGAATGGAATCAACTCAAAGTTTAGTCCTCTGAAATCAATATCACTATTCAAGAATCTCTCAGGTTGGTACTCCTCTGGATCATCCCACGACAATGCATCTCTTCCAATTGCCCAGGCATTAATAAGGACTTGAGTTTTAGCAGGTATGTGATAGTCTAGTAATTTTACGTCTTCCATTGATTCATGAGGAACTAGTAGTGGAAACGGTGGATGAAGCCGAAGTGTCTCTTTGATCACTGCTTTAAGATACTGCATATTTCCTAAGTCATCCTCTGTTACCTCTGCTTTTCCTTGGGCTAATCCTCGCACTTCATTCTGTAATGTTTCCATGGCTCTTGGATGCATCAAAAACTCTGTCATTATCCACTCTAAAGTTGTATATATTGAATCCGTACCAGCAGTAAATGAGTCCTTTGCATTAAGAAAAACACATATATAACAGTACGAAAATGCTTAAATAAAATAAAATTAAAACAAGACAAGCCAAGGATGGAATAGGTAGTTGTAAGAGAGATACCAAAAGGATAGCTTTCAGTGAATCTCTTTGAAGAGGAAAACCAGTCTCCTTTCCATCCTGAATTTCCAGCAAAACGCCCACGAAATCTTTAGCTTCACCCGCACTGCACTCTGCTTTCTTGTTCCTAATCACGCCTTCTTCAATCGCGCTCTCTAGAAATGCATCCAAATCTTTAGCTACTTTCTTCACTCTACTGTCCAAACCGTTCATTTTATCGACCCATTTAAGCCATGGAATATAATCTCCAATGCTAAATATACCTAAAAGTATAAGAAGCTCTTCTAGAAGAGCCTTAACAGGTATTCCACTGTCCCCTCCATTGGATGTCCTTCCTGTGGTCACTCTGCTGATTATGTTATTCGTCATACAACTTAAAACATCTCTCATATCTATCACTGAATTCGAAGAATCACCACCTTGCCTGATTTTTTCAATCATGTTCGATGTTTCTTCTTCTCTGATATCACGATAAGATTGGACTCTTTTGTTGCTGAGCAGGTGAAGCACGGCGATGCTTCTAATTTGTCTCCAATATTCACCATAGGGACTAAATGGCACGTCTGTGGAGCCATAAAGAAGTCCATCAGCGATGCTTGATTTAGGTCTGCTTGACCATACAAGATCGTGTGTTTTCATGATATCGCGAGCAGCATCAACAGAGGAAGCAACGAGCACTGGTTTGCTGCCCAAGTGAAGTAGCATGACTGGACCATATTTTTTGGATAATTTATGGAGAGAACGGTGAGGATGCGACCCAAGTTGGTGCAAATTCCCTATGATTGGGAGCTTTCTTGGAGATGGTGGTAATTTTTTGTTATTATTGGAAGTAGTAAAGAAGAACCTTTGAAGAAAGAAAATGAAAACAAACAGAGGAACAATGACAGAATACCAAGGGAACTCCATTTTTTAATTTAGCAATTATGAGAAATTGGGAATTGAGTATAGAAATATGTAATGTTTTATCATATTATATTAATAGAAGCTTCACCACATAAATTGAAGGAGACAAGCACCACATAACAACTTTTTTGTTTTTTTTTCTTGGTTAATTACTGCCCTTTGTTTCCTTGGACCATTATTTGATAGTGTCATGGGGCATATAGTAATTTATTATTTTGGAGCTGATTTGAAGTGATGATTTAACAAACTTTGGGATCTAACAAGGGAAGTTGAATAAGTTTGTCATCACTAAAAAGGGGGAAAATGTTATTTTGGAGTTGATTTGAAGTTTTGATGATTTAATAAACTTTCTGATCTAACAAGGGATCTTGTCGAGGAAAGACTCCGTAAGTGAAAAAAAACAAAAAGATAATTGTCTAAAAACTGCCACAACTACCAACTCTATTGTGGCTGGTGCATGTCTTATCGTAGCAGCAGACTTAGCCAATGGCTTTGCCCGAAGGGTTTGTGTCCATTTCATACTAGTCTTCTTCTCAAATGACACAAGCCAAGTTTTGGCAAACAATGTTTGTGAATTCTGAAAATTCATAAGCTCACAAAGAAAAAGCCATCTTCAAGGAAGAACACTGCTTATACTCAACAAGGGACCCGATGGAGTGCTGAAGCGTCTTTTGCTATATTTTTGAGCTTTGTGTCTTGTGTTCTTATATTGTAAAACTACTCCTAAATTATAAAGGATAATAGATCTGTTGCTTGTCTAAGTCTTTAGGTTGAGTCGGATTAACTAGAGTTAGTTACTCAAATCATCTATATTTTAGTCAAGCCTCTTTACATCATTGTTTTGATGTCTCTTAGGTAGAATTGCCTAGGAGTGTCAACTAGAGTTAGTTGATGTGTGGGTGCAACAAAGTTGCTGCTTGTTTACACTCCTATCTTTGAGATATGAGTTGGTGGCTAGAGTTAGCCTTGTTGGGTTCTTGACGTTTAGATCAACTAGAGTTAATTGGTTTAGTGGGCAATGGAGTTATTGCTTAGTTTCCTTTGTAGTAGAGTTGTTACAGTAAGGGGGGAGGGTTTAAGAGTTTAATTCCTAGGTTACAAGAAGTTGTAATATGAAGTTGTGCTCCGTTTTGAGTGAAATGGAGTTTGGGTTGAAATCATATACAAGTCGTGGTTTTCACCTCCCTTGAGCAAGGGGTTTCCATGTAAAATCCTTGTGCTTGATTTACTTTGAGTTATTTATTTTCTGCACTATTATTTTATCGAAGGACCTAGTCCAGTGATCGCTAATGGATGCATACGTTTTATCATAATTTTTATGCAAGCTTTACTAGTATTCTGTATGTATATTTCCACTAGTTAATTTGTGCGGCCACAAAATAATAAATAAAGATACAGTCAAACCTCTCTATAGTGGTACAGTGATAGCATTAGCCTGAACATTTCATGAGTGCTATAGTGAGTTACTTGTTATATATGTATATTGTCATTTAATTTTTAAACCTCATTTAGTTGTTATAAAAAATAAGAACCAAAAAAATTAGTAAAGTTAAGTTGGCCTCCAAGAAAGAAAAAGAAAAAGTCATAAAATAATAGTCATGTGCCAAAATAAAAAGTAAACCACAATTGGTCTACCACAAATTTGGTTTGCTAGCCAAGAAGAAGCTTCATAAGAAAAGTATTTTGGCACATGACTATTATTTCTTTGACTTTTTCTTTTTTATTTTACTAGAACTCTACCCCTATGGCTCTGTAGTATTCGCATGTTTTCACAACCTAGATATCTTTAGGGGATGCAGAGCATGTTTCTCTCTAGAGAATGCAAACTGTATTTAGCTCTTGTAACTCCAACTAATGTGGAAAATCTTTTTTAGACACTAAAGGTTAGGGCTTAAGATCAGGAGGACAATGCAAGCTAATGGCTAACAGACCTGATAGTTTATGGAGAGACGGTTAGGTTGCGACCCAAGTTGGTGGTGATACTTTTTTCGGGTAGTAACGAACGACTTATGGAGAAAGAAATGAAAACAAGTAGAGCGAGAACATAAAAGAGATATACTAAACATCTAAGAAAAAAGGAGTCAACCAGTACACTTCTTACATACAGTGAATTCTAAATTCTCTTGCAATGTCCTTTCCAATAGGTTTCAAATTATTATATTTTATGACATAATAAGAAATGGAAGGGAAAAAAACTAAGTAGCGCACGGAGTTGCCACTGCTAGTAAAGGTAATTTCCTGCGAATGGAGATGCCAGTGCATTCACTCATATCCAAATCCTCCTTTTTCATTCCTTGTGGTAATGCTAAATTGAATTTGTGCACAATCTTTGCTAATGCTAGCTCTATTACCATTATAGCAAAATTAATTCCTGGGCAACCCCTCGTGCCAGCTCTGAACGGAATCTGTTAGATTAGGTCTTAGGCCTAACTCACACCCCAAAAACTAGCTCAAAGGGAGGAGGATTGTCCAAGCCTTATAAGGAGTCCACCCATCTCATTAACCACCGATGTGGGACTTTTGTCATTCTTTAACAGAATCAACTCAAAGTTTAGTCCTCTGAAATCAATATTACTATTCAAGAATCTCTCAGGTCGGTACTCCTCTGGATCATCCCATGACAATGGGTCTCTTCCGATTGCCCAAGCATTAATAAGGACTTGAGTTTTAGCAGGTATGTCATAGTCTAGTAATTTTACATCTTCCATTGATTCACGAGGAACTAGTAGTGGAAACGGTGGATTAAGCCTGAGGGACTCTTTGATCACTGCTTTGAGATACTGCATATTTCCTAAGTCGTCCTCTGTTACCTCTGCTTTTCCTTGGACTAATTCTCGCACTTCATTCTGTAATTTCTCCATGGCTCTTGGATTCCTCAAAAGCTCTATCATTATCCACTCTAAAGTTGTATATATTGAATCCGTACCAGCAGTAAATAAGTCCTTTGCATTAAGAGAAACACAAATAAAAATGAGTTTATAAAAGAAGGCCTCAAGACATAGGACATAAACCACGAATTTCTAAATTATACTATTTATTATATAATAGAGAATATGAAAACATATCAGAAATGTTGTAGAAATTCAAACTAAAAGGGGCATAATAACAGGGTTAATGTAGTTTACAAAATATATGTAAATAGTGCTATATACTACCAAATAATACATATAACATAACAGAAGTGTACATTTACAAAAATTTCTCATAACAATATTCTAAGTCACCAAGTTTTTAAAGTTGAACAATGAAGCAATATACTATATCTTTTTTTTAAAAAAAATAAAATAACATGCCAAGGGAATAAGGAGTATTACCAAAAGGAGAGCCTTCAATGAATCTCTTTGAAGAGGGAAACCAGTCTCTTTTCCATTCTGAATTTCCAGCAAAACGCCCACGAAATCTTTAGCTTCACCCGCACTGTATTCTGCTTTCTTGCTCCTTATGACGCGTTCTTCAATCACGCTCTCTAGAAATTCATCCATATCTTTTGCTACTTTCTTCACTCTAGTGTCCAGACCATTAATTTTATTAACCCATTTAAGCCATGAAATATAATCCCCAACGTTAAAAGTACCAAGAAGTTCAAGAATTTCTTCTTCGAGAGCCTTAACAGCTATCCCACTTTCCCCTTCATAGTATGTCCTTCCTATGTTCACTCTGCTGATTATGTTATTAGTCATACAACTTAAAACAACTCTCATATGTATCACAGAATTACACTCTTGCCTGATTTTTTCAATCATGTTTGATGTTTCTTCTTCTCTCACATGACAATAAGATTGAACTCTTTTGTTGCTGAGAAGGTGAAGCACAGCGATGCTTCTAATTTGTCTCCAGTATTCACCATAGGGACTAAATGTCATGTCTGTAGAGCCATAAAGGAGTTCATCAGCGATGCTTGATTTAGGTCTGTTTGACCATACGAGATCGTGAGTTTTCATGATATCACGAGCAACTTCAGCAGAAGAAACAACAATCACTGGCTTACTGCCCAAGTGAAGTAGCATGACTGGACTATATTTTTTTGATAGTTTATGGAGAGAACGGTGAGGATGTGAACCAAGCTGATGCAGATTTCCAATGATTGGGAGCTTTGTTGGAGATGGTGGTATTTTTTTATTATTATTGGAAGTAGTAAAGCAGTTATGAAGAAAGAAAATGAAAACAAACAGAGGAACAGCAATATAATACCAAGGAAGCTCCATTTTCTTATGTAGCGATTTGGAGAATTGAGTATAGACAAATGTAATATATATAATCATATTTTTCTTGGTTCATTATTGTTTCCTTGGACCATTATTTGATAGTACCATGGGGCATGTAGTAATTTTTATGCAAGCTTTACTAGCATTCAGTATTATAATTCCACAAATTTGGTTTGCTAGGCAAGAAGAACAATCTTCATAAGCAAAGTATTTTAGCACATGACTATTATTTCCTTGACATGCCACAACTGGGTTTGGTCCTCCTATTTCTTGACTCTTTCTTTTTTATTTCACTACAACTCTACCCCTATGGCTCTGTAATATTCACATGTTTCCACGACCTAGATATCTTTAGGAGAGGCAGAGCGTGTTTCTCTCTAGAGAATGCAAAGTTTATTTAGCTCTTGTAAACCCTAATCATCAACTAAGGGGTCGTTTGCATTCGAGAACATAAAAGAGATATACAAAACACCCAAGAAAAAAGGAGTCAACCAGTACACTTCTTACATACAGTGAATTCTGAAATTCTCTTCCACTGCCCATTTCAATGGGTTTCAAATTATTAACTATTTAGTAGTTTAGTACTTATTACATATATACTTATTTACTACTAGTATATTTTATGACATTATAAGAAATTGAAAGAAAAAAACTAAATACCGCACGGAGTTGCCACTGCTAGTAAAGGCAATTTCCTGCGAATGGAGATGCCAGTGCATTCACTCATATCCAAATCCTCCTTTTTTATTCCTTGTGGTAATGCAAAATTGAATTTGTGCACAAGCCTTGCTAATGCTAGCTCAATTATCACAATAGCAAAAGGAATACCTGGGCAACCCCTCCTGCCAGCTCCGAATGGAATCAACTCAAAGTTTAGTCCTCTGAAATCAATATCACTATTCAAGAATCTCTCAGGTCGGTATTCCTCTGGATCATCCCATGACAATGGGTCTCTTCCCATTGCCCAAACATTAATAAGGACTTGAGTTTTAGCAGGTATGTCATAGTCCAGTAATTTTACGTCTTCCATTGATTCTCGAGGAACTGGTAATGGAAACGGTGGATTAAGCCTGAGAGTCTCTTTGATCACTGCTTTCAGATATTGCATATTTCCTAAGTCGTCCTCTGTTATCTCTGCTTTCCCTTGGGCTAATCCTCTCACTTCATTCTGTAATTTTTCCATGGCTCTTGGATTCCTCAAAAGCTCTATCATTATCCACTCTAAAGTTGTATATATTGAATCCACACCAGCAATAAACGAGTCCTTTGCATTAAAAGAAGTATAACTTACATAAATACACATAATTAATAACAAGTTTATGAGCTCCGTTATTAATAGTAAAATTTGAACTATGAATCAATATATCAGTACGAATTATATCCAAGTGCTTAAAACAAGACATGCCAAGGAGGGAATAAATTACCAAGAGAATAGCTTTCAATGAATCCCTTTGAAGAGGAAAGCCGGTTTCGTTTCCATTCTGAATTTCCAGCAAAACATCCACGAAATCTTTAGCTTCACCCGCACTATATTCTCCTTTGTTGTTTCTAATCACACGTTCTTCAATCACGCTGTCTAGAAATGCATCCAAATCTTTAGCTACTTTCTTCACTCTGTTGTCAAGACCATTAATTTTATCGACCCATTTAAGCCACGGAATATACTCACCAATGTTAAAAGTACCTAAAAGTGCAAGAAGTTCTTGTAAGAGAGCCTTAACAGCTATTCCAGTTTCCCCTTCATTGTATGTCCTTCCTATGGTCACTCGGTTGATTATATTATTAGTCATACAACTTAAAACATCTCTCAAGTCCATCACTGAATCACACTGTTGCCTAATTTTATCAATCATGTTTGATGTTTCTTCTTCTCTCACATGACGATAAGATTGGACACTTTTGTTGCTGAGAAGCTGAAGCACCATGACACTTCTAATTTGTCTCCAGTATTCACTATAATTACTAAAGGCCACGCCTTTGGATCCATAAAGGAGTCCATCAGCGATGCTAGATTTTGGTCTGGTTGACCATACGAGATCATGAGTTTTCAAGATATCGCGAACAACATCGACAGAGGAAGCAACAAGAACTGGCTTACTGCCCAAGTGAAGTAGCATGACTGCACCATATCTTTTTGATAGTTCATGGAGAGAACGGTGAGGATGCAACCCAAGTTGATGCAAATTTCCTATGATTGGGAGCTTTCTTGGAGATGGTGGTAATTTTTTGTTAGTATTATTAAAAGTGGTAAATAAGCAGTTATGAAGAAAAAAAATGAAGACAAACAGAGGAACAACAACAGAATACCAAGGGAACTCCATTTTTTTAATTTAGCAATTATGAGAAATTGGAAATTGAGTGTAGATATATGTAATATAATATAATCACATATATTCAGAAAAGCTTCACCACATAAACTAAAGGAGATAATCACCACATAACTAATATTTTGTTCTTTTTTCCTTGGTTAATTATTGTTTCCTTGGACCTGACTATACTGTATTTGTCTGAACATTGATTGTTAAAGTGAGGTGGTTTACATATGTATATTCACATTTTACGTTTAAATAAAAGTATGTAAAAATTGAGCTTAAGAATTTTGTGTACCAAGAAGGAATGTATTTGTTAGTCAATTTAAATAAAATACTCTCTGTTTATCTTTAATTGTCATGATTTTCTCTTTCAGAGTAAAACTATAAGAATTAGTCATTTATATATATATATATTATCTCTCTTGTTCATTTACATATACAATCATTTGAAAGGAAATGGGACTCACCATCTTATGTGTCACCAATTTGATGGAGCCTCGTACTATCTTATGTGTCACCAGTACTATCTTGATTATTTTTTTTCTTTAAATGTTGATGGACCCCACAGTTGCTCCTTTGATCATATTATTATTCTAGTATTTCATTCCGCATAAAATAACATATAAATTTCTTTATTTTATACCTATATTAGTTATGTTGATTTCTGAATTTTCAACCAAACATCTTATTAATTTTAGGAAATTTTACACAAATTTATAGTGGTAAAAGCTAACTACATCATATTTCTACTCTTTTTTAAATTACAAAAATCTTTTAAATTTGATGAAATTCGAATACATCCCAAAACGTCCTAATACATCGCATCTCGATTTACTCAACGTCTCGATACGTCGCATACGTCCTGATACATCGTGTAAAGTGATGTATCTGACCTATACATCGCGTAAAGTGATTTATTTGAGAATAGGAGAGAGTATGATTCTTGTCATTTTTTTAAATGGTAGGTAATTTTAGATAATATAGTAGAAAAAAAGATGTATAATTAGGTAAATTTTTTTCTTAATTTTATACATAAATAACGTATTTTCTATCTAGTAAACGTCATATAATTAAGTTATACGAGAATTAATATATAAATAACTTTATTTTATTCAACTACCAAACAACTCCTAAATGTGGATTAAAGATCAAGAGGACAATGCAAGCTACTGAACGGATCCGGCTCCCCTCCATTACCTCTTCCTTTCATTTCGTCAAGTGCACGTCTAGATTAGAGACATGTGTCATATTTAAAGTTTAAATATCAAAATTATATTATATTAACAAATATCATAACCATAGTTAAGTCAACTAATTTTAGAAAACTACCCTCCAAATTTGATAAGAATTACAATATATTCCATACAAAATTTGATATTTATTAATATCTTTAATTTCATCTTATATTTTTAATTTACAATTTAATATTTAAATACAAAAATATAATATGAAATTAATGATTATAACTCAAAAGTCACTCAACTATTGATATTTCACTTAAAAAGTCACCCAATCAATTTAAATATATTTTTCCATTAAATTTTGTTGAAATCTAATTTTATTTTAAACTATTTTTATAAGAAATAAGAAGATATCTATTTTATTTATCTTACTAATCCACTCCAATTATTTAATTATAGACAAAAAAAAATCATTTTCCGTTCTAAGCAATTGATTAGTAGAATTAAATAAGCTGAAAAATGATCCAAAAAAAAGGAGAACATTGGAATTGATTAGAAGTAATACAAAAGAACGCAGAATAGCTAATTCTTTTATCAATTTAAAAATAATTAGTTTAAAACTAAAAATTTACAATTTAATATTTAAATACAAAAATATAATATGAAATTAATGATATTAATAAATATCAAATTTTGTATAGAATGTATTGTAATCCTTACCAAATTTGGAGAGTAATTTTCTAAAATTAGTTGACTTAACTATGGTTATGATATTTGTTCATATGATATAATTTTGACCTTTAAACTTTAAATATGACACATGTCTCTAATCTAGACGTGCACTTGACGAAATGGAGGGAAGGGGTAATGGAGGGGAACCGAATCCCTAATCAACAGCTAGCTAAGGGCTAATTAACACATCTTATGGATAGATCCAATTTAATAGATATTTCGAACAAGTTGGATAGTTAAATATCAAACGGCGTTATTAGGTAGCGTATCAGAAAAGTAACACATCTTTTGGTCCTACATGTACTATTGCTTGATTTCTTTGGCATATTAATGTTACACGATTTGATTTTTCAGCCACTCAACTAATAGAATTATTAGAAATGAAAGTCAATTTTCTTTTTTAATTTGTAATAGAAAAATAATTTTATTTATTTTTGCCATCTTACCTGCAGAGTCACTCACAATACTTAGGCGATTTTTTCAGCCACTTATCTACAGTTTTCTATTCTCTGTCGATCTTGATGTCGAATTAAGTTATTTCGAGTTAGGCGTAATGAATCTTCTATTACGACAAACTAAAGAGAAGTTATTTTCTTTCAATAATTTCTATTAACTGGATAGTTATCTCAGAAAACTACCATGTTATAAGCTAAACATGTTAAAATAAGAAATTTATATGCTATAATATAAAGCGAGATACAAGAAAAGTGATGTGGCAACTCCTACAGAGAGGGGAATAAAAAGTAAAACTGGAGAGAAAAAAAGGTCCTAATAATAAGTAGGCCATGGAGTTGCCACTGCTAGCAGAGGTGATTTCCTACGAATAGTGACACCACTGGCTTCAGTCATATCCAACTCCTCCGGTAATGAGAAATTGAACTTGTGCACAAGCCTTGCTAATGCTAGCTCAATTACTACAATAGCAAAAGTAATTCCTGGGCAGCCCCTTCTGCCTGCTCCAAACGGAATCAACTCAAAGTTTAATCCTTTCAAATCAATAGTACTATCTAAGAACCTCTCTGGTAGGTAATCCTCTGGATTTTCCCATGATAATGGATCTCTTCCGATTGTCCAAGCATCGATAATAACTTGAATTTTTGCAGGTATGTGATACCCAAGTAATTTAATGTCTTCTGTTGATTCTCGAGGAACTAGTAGTGGATCCGGTGGATGAAGCCTGAAAGTTTCTTTGATCACTGCTTTCAAATACTGCATATTTCTTAAGTCGTCCTCGGTTACCTCTGCTTTCCCTTGGGCTAATCCTCTCACTTCATTCTGTAATTTTTCCATGGCTCTTGGATGCCTCAAAAGTTCTGTCATTATCCACTCTAAAGCTGTATACGTTGTATCCGTACCAGCTGCAAATATATCCTACGCATTAAAAAAAAAACTAACTAAAAATTTTAACAATGAAACAATATAGTAGTACAAATGCTTCGAAAGAAAAATTAAAAAAAAAAACACGCCAAGGAGGGAATAAATAGTATGAGAGATGCTTAATTACCAAGATGATAGCTTTCAATGAATCCCTTTGAAGAAGAAATCCAGTTTCCTTTCCATTCTGAATTTCCAACAAAACGTCTACAAAGTCTTTAGCTTCACCCGTGCTGTCTTCTCCTTTGTTTTTCCTACTAACGTGTTCTTCAATCACACTCTCCAAAAATGTATCCAACTCTTTAGCTACTTTCTCCACTTTGTTGGCCAAACCGTTGATTTTACTGATCCATTCAAGCCATGGAATGTAATCCCCAATGCTAAAAGTACCCAAAAGTTCACCAAATTCATGTAGAGTGACCTTAGCATTCATTCCTCCTTGTCCTTCTTCATTATATTTCCTCCCTAAGGCCACTCTGCTGACTATGTTATTGGTGAGAGAACAGAAACAATCTCTTAAATCAATCACTGAACTCGAAGAATTAGAATCACACTCTTGTCTGATTTTTACAATCATATTCGATGTCTCTTCTTCTCTGATATCACGATAAGATTGGACTCTTTTGTTGCTGAGAAGGTGAAGCACGGTGACACTTTTAATTTGTCTCCAGTATTCACCGTAGGGACTAAAGGCCACGTCTTTAGAGCCATAAAAGAGTCTTTCAGCAATACTAGATTTAGGTCTATTTGAGCAGACGAGATCGTGAGTTTTCATGATATTGCGAGCAGCATCAACAGAGGAAGCAACTATCACTGGCTTACTGCCAAAGTGAAGTAGCATGACAGGGCCATATTTTTTGGATAGTTGATGGAGAGAACGATGAGGAAGCGATCCAAGTTGATGGAGATTGCCTATGATTGGAAGCTTTGTTGGAGAGGGTGGTAATTTTTTGTTATTATTAGAAGTGGTAAATAAGCAGTTAGGAAGAAAAAAAATGAAGACACACAGAGGAACAACAATGGAATACCAAGGGAACTCCATTTATTTAATTTAGCAATTAGGAGAAAATGGGAATTGAGTGTAGATATATGTAATATAATATAATCACAATTCACATATATTCAGAAAAGCTTCACCACATAAACTAAAGGAGACTATCACCACATAACAACTTTTTTGTTCTTTCTTTCTTGGTTAATTATTGTTTCCTTGGACCTCACTGTACTGTATTTGTCTGAACACTGGTTGTTAAAGTGAGGTGGGATCCCTATGTATATTGACATTTGACGTTTAAACTTCATTTAACTGTTATAATAAATGTTACAAATAAAAGTATGTAAAAATTGAGCTTAATAATTTTATGTACCAAGAAGAAGGAATGTATTTGTTAGTCAATTTAATCAAAGTACTCTCTTCATTCATCTTTAATTGTCATGATTTTCTTTTTCACAGTCAAACTATAAGAGTTAGTCATTTATTAAAAATATATATATAAAAAAAAGAAACTTCTTCCAATATTCCCTCCAATTGGAATGGAGGGAATAATATTTTCATGTTGATAGATTTTTTTTTAACAAGTGATAAAGTTAAGAACAACAAAAAATCAAATAAAGTCAAAGAAAAAACCCCATTTTTTTTTATTGATTTTGTTATGTTTTACATTTGAAAAGATTTGACTAATTTGATTTGGTTTTGATTTTACATTTAAAAATTGACATATTTGATTATTAGTCTGGTATTAAGCAAAAAACAATTGAAAAAAAAATGAATCAAGCGGATTATTTAAATGCATTTTTAAAAATTATAATTGCATAAATATAAAGTTAAATTTTTATGGTACATATTAATTTGTTGCACTCTTAGTTATGTATAAACATTTTTCTTATTGATGATTTCATATACTAAAATAAGGTTCATTATAATAACTTCTCATTTTTTCACTTTTCTTCTTTTCATTGTGGTAATGCAATACAAAAGGTCAAAATTTTAATTGTCTTTAACGATGAAAATATATTTTTATCTTATTTCGAAATATATGAAAACCCAAAATGTTAACTTCGACAAGGAAATATAACTGCACAAATACAATGATTGTATTTTCATGTATTACGCAAATAAATAAATTTAGATATTTTATCTCTCTTGTTCATTAATCATTACATTCATTTGTTTGAAAAAGAAAGGAAATGGGACTCACTATCTTATATGTCACCAATTTGATGGAGCCTCGCACAATCTTATGTGTCACCAGTACTGTCTTGATATTTTTTCATTAAATGTTGATGGACCCCACAGTTGCTACTTTTATCATATTATTATTCTATATTTATTCTACTAAAATAACATATAAATTTCCTTATCTTACACATATATTAGTTATGTTGGTTTCTAGCATAGTCCCCTTGCTTATATTTATCTCTATTGAGGATTTTTATATTTTTTATATTAATAAAACACCACTAGACAGAGTGTCTAGTGGTATATTTTAGGAAAAATTATATGAAATAGCAAACTATTAATTCAAATTAAATGTTATAGTCATACTTTATTTTATTTGTAATTCGCAGCAAACATCCCATTTTTTTGTCATCTGATTCAGTATACAATTAGTCATTTTCTGTATACAATTAGCCATTTTATACATTTCGGCATAAAATGTATAAAATGTGTTTGTGTTTGTATAAAGCGAGAGAAAAGTGTATATACAAATACAAATACATATATTTTCGTCCTATAAACTTATAATTATACAAATACAGTTATTATTATACATATTATAATGCATAAATGAATTTATACAAAACTGAACAATTTGTATAAAATTGGATGTATCTAGCGAATTATACAAATTAAAAGCTCCACAACAAACATAAAATTTGCTATGGAGCGCAATTATGCAAACTATAGCTATAACATACAAATATGATTTTTAAAAAAGTTATGTTGGTTTCCTTCCTTTATTGATTGGGCCTGCTGACTTGATGTATATTGCTCTTATTTTGATTAATAAAATCTGGCCCTTTGACCTTTTAATTTTTTATTTTTTTTAAAAAAAAGTTTCTAAATTTTCAACCAAACATCTTATTAATTGTAGGAAATTTTACACAAATCTATAGTGGTAAAAGTTAATTACATCTTATTCCTACTCTTTTTCAAATTACAAAAATCTCTTAATTTTGATGGAATTTAAGTACATCCCAAAATATCCCAATACATCGCGTCTCGATTTCGAATACATCACATCTCGATTTCGGATACATTACTCAACATCTCGATACGTCGTATACGTCCTGATACATAGTGTAAAGTGATGTATCTGGTTGATACATCGCGTAAAATGATTTATTCGAGAATATGAGAGAGTGGAGATTCTTATATTTATTCAAATGGTAAGAAATTTTAGATAATATGGTAAAAAAGGTTGTATAGTTAGAAAAAAAATTCAACTAACAAATTAATATACACCTAACTTTATTTTATTCAACTACCAAATAACCCCTAAATGTCAGGATTAAAGATCAAGGGGACAATTGTAATGACCCTCTTGGTCATTTCTGTGTCTTGCCTTCTGTGTGTCGTTTAGAGCGTTCCTATAGCGACCCCAAGTCATTTATGACTTGCTGGGACTGACAGTTCGGTCACCTGGTCGTTCGTTTGGTCTTGGTGCGAGTTTTTGTGTTTTGGAGCTTATGAACCTTGAACAATCATTTTGGATCAAAAGTTCAAGAAGATGACATCGGAATCCAATTCTGACGATTCCATCAGCTCCGGAAGGGTCATTTTAGGCGAGTAGCATGGTCGACATGACTCTCGAGGTTTTCAGTGTGAGTCGGTGCGATTAGGCGTTTTAACTTTAAGTTTAAGCTTAAGTTT